AAAAACAAAAACAAAACTTGTAAGGTCTGTGGAACGGTGTTAAAATCTATACTATGCACAAAACATCTGTAAAGTGTGTGGTATGACGTGAGAACTTGCGTTACGTAAAAATTAAAAACAAAACCTGTAAGGTCTGTGGAACGGTGTTAAAATCTATACTATGTACAAAACAGCTGTAAAGTGTGTGGTATGACGTGAGAACTTGCGTTACGTAAAAAACAAACACAAACCTGTAAGGTCTGTGGAACGGTGTTAAAATCTATACTATGTACAAAACATCTGTAAAGTGTGTGGTATGACGTGAGAACTTGCGTTACGTAAAAAACAAACACAAACCTGTAAGGTCTGTGGAACGGTGTTAAAATCTATACTATGTACAAAACATCTGTAATGTTTATGGGAAATAATAATGAAGAAAAACACAAATACCTTTCTGAAAAATAAAGAGCAAAATACGTTATTTAATATGTTAACGACCATAAAACTTCAATGTGTAACATGTAATTAATGTAAGTGCTATTAATTTTTAGTTTGTGATCATACTACCTGCAGAGATTTCTTTTTCTCCTGTCCACAGAAGTAAATGTCTTATAAAACAAAAATATGCTAACAAAGACAGTGGGTGCAGCCTCACCACAGAAGAAAGAAGACATGTATGACTAGAAATGTTGGTATACGTCTCTCTTGCTCAAGATGGTCATGTTTATAAACCATTTCTATTATTGGTCGACATGTTCATCTGAGGTACTTTTGTTCACACTGTTAGACTGTGAAAATACATTCATCTTCCAAACTTATAATGTAGGCAAGACATTTGTTACCTGATAGGATCAAGTCAAGAAGTAACTAAAGTGTGTATACACTGCTTCTCTGCTATCCTTCCTTCAATTAAAACCGCTGAGTTTAAAGATTTGTTCGACCCTGCTACTAAAGCGCCACCGGCAAGCGGTGGTAATATAGTGAATGAAGATTTGTCCTGTGTTTTTTTTTTAAGATTTACATTTAACTTCTTTCAAAAGTTATGGTTAAGTGATCATTTTGTGGAAGTTTTCCTGTAATTTTTTTTATACCTCTGGTTTTGAAACATTACTACGTGCATGCAATATTTGTTCAGAGAGTCCATTAGACGGAGTCAGATTGGAAAAAGTTATCTACACTTCTGTGTATAATCCTCATGTGTTTGTTGTTAAGCGCAAAGCTATTCGATGGGCTATCTGCGCTATGCTCACCACGGGTATCGAAACTCGGTTATAAGCGTTTATAAGCCTTTAGACTTATCGCTAAACCGCTGGGGCGAAATCTCACGTGTGAAGTGTCCTCCATGCCATATGCTGACCCAAAGGCTGGAATGGCCACTGCAGTTCAACACATTGTGACCTTTATAACAGCTCAAAGTGAAACAATCGCTATTGCAAATTATAAACCATCCACATATCTTCACATTTATTGGTTTCTAAATCCAATCATCGATGCAGCAAGGCTGATCTTACAAGTTTTTCATTCTGGTACTTCCACAAGCATATGGCTCGTACAGAAGCCAAAACATGGCGATATCATTCATTTATGAGGATGATTCTACATCACTCAGTAAAGATAAAGACCAAGGTAAGACATTCATGTTCAGATAAATTAATCAGGATGACCATAGTGACATGCATAGTGACTCAAGCTACAACTGCATGGTTATATGGAAGTCATCTTCAACAGGGACAAAATACACAGAGCCATAATACATTCAAAGATGAAGGTCCAGGCCCAGATGGTGTAAAAATATCAACCTTTAAGAACCTTGCAGAAGACAGCCTGTTTAATCTAGTGTTGGAATAGTGGCATAGCTCAGCAACAGGTAACATCTCTGAAATATGAACTGATGACATTATCAAATCCCTAAGAAAACTCTTGAAATGTCACCCTCTCTCTTCTGAAATGGCATCAAATATTCGTCTTACAAAACACCAGATCCCAAGGAAGGCTGTACCTAGTAGGTTTGCCTATAAGATTGAACCAGAACTACTATCAATATTACGTGCAAGTTGCAGTGGAAGAAAAACCAGGATCAACACTGCAAACCCCAAGGGGGAAAAAAAGACGTATAAAATGGGCAATTTACTTGTTTGGCCTGAGGTTTCCTTCTGAAATGTAGAGTTGTTTGTGTAAGTAATGAACACTTGAAGAACATTTGACTATAGGTTCAGCTTAAGAAAACATCACTAGAAAAGAGGCTTTAGAGAAGAACTCTCAGAGTGTAATTTTGATTCTAGAGAATGGATAAAGATTATGGTAAAGGGAACTGAAAAGGCAATTTCCTTTTATCAATAAAAGTTTGCATAAACAGAAAATATCCTAATTGAATAAAGCTGCTGATTAGAAAAACATTTTATACCATCTATGTTTGGACAAGAGATTACAAAACTACCTTCATGCACTGTAAACTACCCCTAATTACGGTCATCTCCGATTCCAAGAGAATGATTAATGTTGAGTCACACCAAAACAAGGATATTTATCTCGGCTTTTGATCCGAAGACAAGACGGTAGTTCTAAAATCTGATGATGTGAAAGAAAACTACTACTATATTGGCTTTCAAAAATTCAGATTTTTTGACATGGTTATCGAAAGTAGATATAGGTGGCACTGGTGTGCCTTACTTGTGGACTTAAGGGATATCATACCATAAGATATTTGCTATCTATAAGTGCAACAAGTGCTACGTTCTGTATATACCGATACGATTTTGTTTGAGGCATGACAGTAATGTTAAATATTGTTTATCGTACGACTTGTCGAGAAGCTGTGTATTCGTAACATAACCATGTCCTTTCGGTGTTCTCTACTTGTAATTGTTGTTGTGGTTTTTTTTTTGGGGGGGGGGAGTGGGAAGTAAAACAGTGAAATGTCTGCTGCGGCTGCTTGATTGTTTCAGGTTTCTTGTTCGGCAGGATTTGCTGAACTCCTTCACTTTCAGCTTTCTTATTTAACGAGATTCTCTGGACTCTTTCATTTTCAGCTTTCTTATTTAACGAAATTCTCTGGACTCTTTCATTTTCAGCTTTCTTATTTAACGAAATTCTCTGGACTCCTTCATTTTCAACTTTCTTATTTAACGATATTCTCTGGACTCCTTCATTTTCAGCTTTCTTATTTAACGAGATTCTCTAGACTCTTTCATTTTCAGTTTTCTTATTTAACGAAATTCTCTGGACTCCTTCATTTTCAACTTTCTTATTTAACGAGATTCTCTGGACTCCTTCATTTTCAGCTTTCTTATTTAACGAAATTCTCTGGACTCTTTCATTTTCAGCTTTCTTATTTAACGAGATTCTCTGGACTCCTTCATTTTCAGTTTTCTTATTTGTAACGGTAGGTCATTCGACCGTACACCATTTTAACTCAACAGCTATGAAGAAGATGTTATAACAGAAATCACTGCTTTACTGTTGTATCCGTAGTATGTGTTGAAATAAACAGATTCCTAATAGGAAGGGAACATCCGAAAACTATACCAAAGCCAAAAACTTTCTTTTATAATAAATATACAATTCCAACCATGACATCAAGGAAAAAAGTTTTGTGTTTCTTTTATTATTTGTTATTCCTCAAGTGAGTTTCATAAATATATTTGGAGGCCAGCACAAGTAAGTCCTACTCCAGCTTTTTCACGTAATTCTAGTCAGTAATTGATAGTTTAACCACAAATGCTTCAAATTCCTTTCCCTTATTCAAGCAAAAACTGCAACCAGACGTAACCACAGTCGATGCATTACCACTCAGTGAATGGATTTGATCTTTTCGTGATAAGACTTCCATAGTTTCTTTAGTCACCTTCCTGCATAAATCTGAAACTGTGTGACATTATTGTATTACCACAAGAAAATGCGTTATCTCTGTATTTTTCTTTATAAAGAGTGTTAATTATGAGTAAAATGTTCAATAAATTAACGCAGTATGAACAGAGACCATTACTTCTAACCTCACATTCTTTGTTCGCTGTTTCCTTTTAATATAGTTAAAAAGAAAACTGAAGCACACTGCAGACTCAACACAAGTTCGTACACCGAATATAAAATTAAACCATAATTTTGGTAAACTCTTAAGCAAACAGATAAGGCACTTCAGGTGAATAAAGTATTTATATAAATGTATTTTTCTTATGATTTCTTACATTGCAATAGATTTTCTGACATAGAACACGGCATGACTTTTGCAACCAATAACTATTAAATCTTTAGGTGCTGCCTTAATCTGTGGGTGTTGATTACACCAGTACTTGTTTGTTAGATGTTTAAACAAAGATAAGGCAGATCTAATTACTCTATTATTGTAGTTCATCAGTTTGAAGAATAAAAATTGGTGAAAAATGAGGTAAAATCTTTTACTGTTGAAATAAAGAACACTTTAAAAATCATTATTGTATATTCACTCTATATCAATTCCACGCGTTAGTAGCTCCATCTATGAATGCTTAGGACACAGAAAATTGCATACCTCATCACCCTGTTCTCTGGCGATGTCAATGGCATCCTTTAATTTTTCAGCAAATATGGAGTTAAAACTAATCAACTCATCTATATTTAAAAATATCTGGCGTAATTGTTCTTTTCCTAGCAATCCGGCAACTTCCATTGGCCTGTAAAATTCCTATAAATAAAATGAACAAAACAAACAAATCATTTAAAATATACAACTGTCTTTTAGGCATAATTACATAATCTAAAAATAGAAAATATTTAAAATATTTACACAGTCCTAAACGTTCAGGCGTATTTGAATATACTTTACGTTTAGGTCGTCAAATATAAAAATAATGCAGAAATAACTAATGAGGTTTTCGAAATACATATATGTATATCTTTTCTAATGCTTTGGTTTTCTAAAAGTTTTTCTATTATAATATCAATAACGTGGGGATTGATATTGGAAATGTAATAATAACAGCAGGTGTGGTTTTTCTCAAGTCTCTATATAACCGTGGGAGTGAGTTGGGGGAAGTTTTTGACTGTTTATTTTATTCAAAGTCGTAAGTTTGAAAATTTTATTTTCGAAGAGTATCGTTTATGATAGGTAACTCATACAATCAGAAAAAAAATAATACTATTTTTTTCTAAACAACTTTCTTATGTAAACAAGAACCAAAATTTTGAGTAATATTTTACCTCTTTGATTATTCGAAGATCTCTTCCATACTTAAGCTCGGTTACAACAATCTCAGATATTAACTCTTTACGTTCATATTGTTTTTTTTCACATTTTCGACACACTAAAGGATTAAACATCGTTCCAGAAAATTCATCCTCTCGTGGCTCCACCTGTTGGTCACAATCAGCACACTGTTGCTCCTCGTTTTCTATCGCTACCAAGCGGCGTAGCTTGCTGGGTTTACTGGTTTCTGCACCGACGCCACTGTCAGTTCTTTCTATTTCAGCAGATGCTGGCCGTCCAAGCTATAAAAGTATTAATACTATTGTTCATTGTATACTGTGATACACCAAAACCTCAAAAATTACAACTGTTCCTAGAAGTTTAACCCTATTTTTCAATTAACATTCATCTCGTCAGTCATTTCTGCAAAGAAATGGTTACATTAGTAAATAAATATCGGTATTATGAAACTGTTGCCCGTGGGATGCAACTTACGATGTATTTACACTCTTAATTTTTGTGTAAGTAAGTAATCCTACAAACATTCTTAATTATATACACAAAGAAAATTCGATTATACGAAACGTCCCCTGGTGGAACAGCGGTAAATAACGCTAAAATCCGGGGCTTGATTCCACGCGGGTAACACATCAGATAGCCCACTGTGGCTTTGCTGCAAAAATACAGAAACCTTAACAAAATCATAATAAAAACTACAGATCTAGAAAACATTCCTTCCTAATTATTTTACACAAAATCATAATAAAAACTACAGATTTAGAAAACATTCCTTCCTAATTATTTTACACAAAATCATAATAAAAACTACAGATTTAGAAAACATTCCTTCCTAATTA